ACAACACATCTACGTGAAATTCACGTCGTTTTTCGCCCGCCGTTTCGGGGTTTTGTATTGACAGGAATCCACGCACAAATCCGCTGCAGCACGTCTGCAAGGTCGGGGCAATGACCAATCTAAGAGAACCGCGCAGAACTCCGAAAGTTTCTGTTTACGGTAGGTGCGCGTCGTGCCGACCGGCGGCGGCCTTGGCGCCGGCGTTCATCCTTGAAGGCTGCCGGCGACCCAGACTCGGCCGATCTGTTGGACGATCTGACGCCTACCGATGGGCTCCCTTACCAGGGGTGCCCTGGGCCAGGGCCCCTCCCTCCAGCGTTCGGGGGCCACACGCGAAACCTACCCCTACCACCCACGATTTCTGAGGGGGAGGGTGGGGTAGGGTTCGCGTGTGGCCCCCTAAGCGTGCGGCGGCGAGCGAGGGGGGGGGGGGGAAAATGAGAAAGAGAAGGCCCCCTCAGAGGGCGGCGGGACTCTCCGAAGGCCGTGGGCATCCGAGTCTTCCGAGCGAAGGCCCGCCCCTTCTCACTCACCCCCCCCCCGGGCGACAAGGACAGTTTCTGAGGCACCGGAGAGGACTTTCCGACTCCGCGGTCGGCCCGTCGGCCCGTCGGCCCGCCGGCCCGTCGGCCAGTCGGCCGGTCGGCCGGTCGGCCAGAGGCGGAGGGGAGTCGCCTACAGTCACCGCGCATGGTAAGGACAGACGACTTTTTCAAGGGCACCCTTGGGTCCTGGCCTGCCTCGGCCTCTGCGGCCCGTCCCTGGCAGTCTTCGCAGGCCAGAAGACTTCAACTTCGGCCTCCAAGGGTCTTGCGTCCTTGCCACGCGTCCTTACCATATTCAGGAGGGAAAAACACACAGACACAATTAATCGTCGATCCCCCCAAAAATATGGGAAACTATGGGAACTGGGGGGGAAGACGAAAACCCAGAAAATATGGGAGAATATGGGGAACCTTTTTATTTGTGTGTATTTCTTTGTGTGTCCTGGGGCCCCTTCATCTACGCTTTCACTGTAGTCAATCCCCGTGCCCAAGCGTTCGCAGATGCCCCGGGCTGGCCGCCGACGGTGCCCCTCCCACGAGCGCTGCGCGCTCCCCCCCCCCCGTGCGTGCCCGCTCGGCTCTGTGGGGTGCCCGCCGGCGTGGCGCCCTCGGGTGCGGCCGCGGGCTCGCGCCGAGCCCGCGGGCTCGCCTCTCCGTCGCAGCCCTCGCGCGGCCCGCGGCTCTCGCGGGGTGTGCCCATCTCGGCAGCGAGAACAACCTGGCATCGTTCGGACGTGTGCATTTTTCCTTCGGCGGGGACCATCGAGGAGCATCCTTGATCATTTCGCGAAAGAACCACGCACGAAACCGAAAAAAGCACAGGAGATGGACGTCCGAGCGATGGCCAGATAATCACCGAGCGCGTTCCACTACTCGCAAAGTGCCTACTCGCAAGCGTCCCAAGACACATGTCTGCTGTGGTGTAATGTATCGTGGAACCTCCGCGGGGGATCCAGCCCATTTGCGAGTAGTTACTTTGCGAGTAGTGGAACGCGCTGGTCTAAAGAAAGGAACTCCTAACCAAGGTGAAACGGTGAAGACGTGGCCTCACTGAGGTCCCCGTCTCCTTCCTCCTTGCCTGCAGCCCCTGACAAAGGACCCCCTAACCCTAATAACACGATGAAGACGTGGCCTCACTGAGAGGTCCCCGTCTTCTTCCTCCTTGCCTACAGCCCCTGTGTGTGTTTTTTGTTGTTCGGCTGTCTAGGCCAAATGGGGATGTCCACACAGCATCTGTTTCCGTTCCCTTTCGCTGTGCTTCCTTCCTCCTCCTCCTCCTCCTCCTCTTCTTTCTCTCTCCCCCCTTTGTGCACTATTCCCCGCTCCTGTTGCACACATCCTTGGCGGCGCGCTTTGAGAGGAACCGCGGACTTCAGGCTTGCTTAGCGCTGTCGTGTGTAGGGGCAATTTGCAGTGGCAGTGCGAATCCTTTCACCGTGCTGGCTAAGGCGTGATGACACATGATGGGGCCGTGTTCCATGACAAACGAATCTGGCCGGTCTGGCCTGAGACATTTGCAGAAGCGACTCCCTACCTCTAATGTTCTTGGCCCTCCTAACTTAGGTCCCCTCCCAAAGGGTTGGGGGTTCTTTTTTGGTTCATCAGCTCGCGTCTGGCGCGCATGGCGCCGCCGGCGCTGTGACCAGGATCGGACGGGCCTAGAATCGAGATAAACCAGTTCCAGATCCTTCTGGAACGCTCTCAGAGCGTTGCGGAACGCTCTGAAACGGCCGCGGCGCCCGATGCATCTTCCGAGCCCGCCGATTCTCAGAGGTTTCCGGCTCATATCGGTCCGGTGTTGTCTCGCTTCTGCCTTCGTCTGACACTCGCGCTTGCGGCGCCCGATACATCTCTCAAACCCGCCGATTCTCAGAGATTTCCGACTTATATCGGTCTGGCTTTGTCTCGATTTTGTCTTCGTCTTGCACTCGCGCGCGTCTGGCGCGCATGGCGCCTCTGGCGCTGCTGCCAGGAAGCTCGCCAGGGAGCTCACTCCAGGCGTGCCGGCTCGCGGCTGGCAGCCACCGCGCTTGCCAGCGTTCTTGCCATCGAAGAGGACAGAACGGCATAAACATGAGCCTTTGACGATCTGGTGATCGTTTTTTTATTCATTCTTTTGCCGACCGGCGCGGGCCCTCGTCCCCCCCCTCCCCCCCCCATGGAGTAGATCTTGGCTGTTTTTTGGCGTCGTTTCGAGCGGCCGGAGCCTCCTCTCAGAGGACGCATTGTTACAAACAGTCGCATATGTCCAGAGCCAGACACCCCCCTCCTCCCCCCCCCTTCCGCCCGATGTCGAGACGCAGACTAAGAAAACGCCCACCCGCGCGGCTCTTTTGGCAGGGAGGCAGGTCGGGCTAAGCGCACTCCGCGCGTGGCGCTGCCAGAGCTGCTCCTGAGCCAGGCTTGCCAGTGGGGTTCTTACCATCTACCGCATGGCTCCCTAAGGAGGAGGAGGAGGCGGAGGAGGAGGAGGAGGAGGAGGAGGAGGAGGAGGAGGCGGAGGCGGAGGCGGAGGAGGAGGAGGAGGCGGAGGAGGCGGAGGAGGAGGACGAGGCGGAGGCGGAGGAGGAGGAGGAGGCGGAGGAGGAGGAGGAGGCGGAGGAGGAGGAGGAGGGACCACGGGTGCCCTGGGCTGGTGTCCCTCCTGTGCCCCTTCCGCGAGCCTCGGGCGTCTGTCCCTCCCGTGCGTGCCCTCCTCGCTAAGCTGTCGGTGCACCTCGTGCGGCCAGCGCTGTGGCCAGGAAGCCCACTCCGGGCGTGCCCGCCTGCGTCCGGCGGCTGTCGCGTGGCCCAAGGTGTTGCCAGGAAGCTCGCTCCAATCTCACTCGTCGTCGTCGTCCCCCTCGCGTCGCATCAGCGACGGCCAGCTTTTCGGTGCTTTGGGCGTCTCTGGGGCCGACTCCCTAACGTCTCAGGGGAAGGGGTCGAGATCCCTGGGAGCCGACGTGACGAAATCGTTGCCGCGTCGGCGGAGGGGGGGCTTACGTTAGTAACCCCGACGTAGGTGAGCAGGCGCCGTCGCGTCTTACCACAGCAACCTACTAGAAAATCTTCAGAAGGCACAACCAATCTCAAACTCGAACTCTTAACACCTCAGGAGGAGGGGTCTGCGCCCTCGTCGCCCTCTGTTGTGTCTGTGGCCCTGGCGGTGAGTACGACGAGTGGCCGCCAGCAGCAGTTATGGCTCCTCCTCGCCAGACCTCGTCGTTGTGTCCTGGCCCCAGCAGCGACTGCGACGAGCGGCCGCGCTGCAGTAGTTGGGGCTCTTCCCCGGGGCACTCTTTGGCGGCCTGGGGGCCGTCTATCACTGAGTCGGGGGAGCAGCGGGTGGCGAAGGGCGACGGAGACAAGCCAAGCCTCGATTCTAGGCCTCCTAGATGGGGTCTGAGTAGATGGGATCGGAGGATCGCGCCGCATCGCCGATGCGGCTCAATGTGGGGCCCGATTTGCTCCGCGCCGACGTCGCCGGTGCATCGCCCACGTCGACGACGCGTCGCCGGTGCATCGCCGATGCGTCGCCAATGCATCGGCGATGTATCGCCAGTGTATCGGCGATGCGGCGAATCTCCGACCCCATCTACTCCGACCCCATCTGGGAGGCCTCTATCGATGCACGTGACGCTCCTGTGAGCCCATCGATGGCCATGGGCGGAGGTGGTCCTGAGGGGCAGGGCCTCTGGAGTCGGCCTTGAGGCCCTTCGTCTTCGCCGTTTCCGGCAGGCCTTCGGGGCCTCGACGGAGGAGTTTTTTGGGATTCTTGTGGCGTTCTTGGGCATCCTGGAGAGCATGGGGGGATGATCAGGAGGAGGAGGAGGAGGAGGAGGAGGAGGAGGAGGAGGAGGAGGAGGAGGAGGAGGAGGAGGAGGAGGAGGAGGAGGAGGAGGAGGAGAGGGGAGGAGGAGGAGGAGGAGGAGGAGGAGGAGGAGGAGGGGGGGAGGAGGACTCACCCCTCCTCCGCTCGTTCAGAGGCCTCCTCGGAGGTGCAGAGGGAGGCCCATAACGTCCAAAAACTTCGGCCGTCGGTTCTCGTGCCCCAGGAGGCGGAGGAGTAGGAGAAGGAGGAGGAGGAGGAGGAGGAGGAGGAGGAGGAGGAGGAGGAGGAGGACCAGTGTAAACCCAGGACGCACCGACGATATTACAGTGACCCCTCCCTCCTAGTTCCTTCCTCGCAGGTCCCTACATCAACTCAGTTTCACCTTGGGAAGTGCCCAGTTGGAAGACAACCGTCCGAGAATCCTCAAACCTATTTCTAAGACCTCAGCGTCGTGAGTCAACGTCACTGTTGCGTCCTGGCGATTTTTGAATCGTGCCAGAAAGCCACCGCGAATCATTGTGACTGTTGCGCCGTGACAATCGTAAGTGGTACCAGCATGCCGCTCTTGGGATGTGAGCCATCAGGCTCCTTGAGACGGCTGTATTTTGAAAAGAAAAAGCCCTCCACCAGGGAAACTCCTGCAACATTTTAGAAGGAATGTGCGCGGCGCCGAGGCGATAGTCACGTTTTGAAACCACGTGCTCCGTGAAGCTCGTGCAGACCTTCAAGACGAATGTGCTCCGCGCTAAAGCGATAGCAACATTTTGAGAAGGACCGCCCTCCACCAGTGAAACTGATGCACGTAAAAGACACGGATGCGTGCGGCGCTAAGACGAAAACCACAGTTTGAACACCCGCCCTCCATCCGTGAAACTCTTGCACACTTGCAAAACGAATGTGCACGGCGCGGACCAGTGTAAACCCACAGCTCATCAACGATATTACAATCAGCTCTCCTTCCAAGTTCCCTCTTCATAGGCTCCTACACGGGTTCATTTTCACTGAGGGAACTGGCCCGTTGGAAAACAACTGTTGAACATCTGGAATTGTGCCAGAACGCTTTTCCTGGGACTTCGACGCCGCGAATCACCGTCAGTCTTAACGATCCTGAATCTTGCCAGACCAGAATTCCTGGGACTTCAACACCGCGAATCAACGTGACTTCAAGAGCTGCGACATCTTGCCACAACACAATTTCTGGGACGTTAATCATAATAATCCTTGAGCCTTCGGCAAGCTCTTAAGACGACGGTGCTCCGCGCTGAGGCGAGAGGCACATTTCGAAAAGGAGCCGTCCTCCGTCCGTGAAGCTCTTGCAAAGTTTAAAGACGAACCTGCGCGGCGCTAAGGCGAGTGCCACATTTTGAGAAGGAGCCGCCCTCCATCCGTGAAACTCTTGTACACTTTTATGACGAATGTGAGCGGCGCTAAGGCGAGAGCCACATTTTGAGAATGAGCCGCCCTCCATCCGTGAAGCTCTTGCAAACTTTTAAGACAGATGTGCGCGGCGCTGAGGCGACAGCCGCATTTTGAAAACGGACCGCCCTCCATTCGTGAAGCAGATGCAAGTTTAAATCTTCACGTTCATAATCTGCAAGGAGGTCTCTGGCGAAATGCCTGGCCCGCCCTGCCGACTGGCATCGGGGTGCAACAGGGAGGAGTCATCTAGAAGGAAAGGCATGGATGAAGCGGACCGGGGATGAGGATGAGGAGGAGGAGGAGGAGGAGGAGGAGGAGGCGGAGGAGGAGGAGGAGGAGGAGGAGGAGGAGGAGGAGGAGGGGAGGAGTGGGGAGGAGGACGAGGAGGAGGAGGAGAGGAGGAGAGGAGGAGGAGGAGGAGGAGGAGGAGGAGGAGGGAGGGAGAGGAGGAGGAGGAGAGGAGGAGGAGGAGGAGGAGGAGGAGGAGGAGGAGAGGAGGAAGAGGAGGAGGAGGAGGGAGGAGGAGGAGAGGAGGAGAGGAGGAGGAGGAGGAGGAGAGGAGGAGGAGGAGGAGGAGGAGGAGGAGGAGGAGGAGGAGGAGGGGAGGATGAGGAGGAGGAGGAGGAGGAGGAGGAGGAGGAGGAGGAGGCGGACCGAGGAGGAGGAGGTGGAGGAGGAGGAGGACGAGGAGGTGAAGGATGAAGAGGGGAAGGAAGATGAGGAGGAGGAGGAGGAGGAGAAGGAGGAGGAGGTGGAGGAGGAGGAGGAGGAGGAAGGAGAGGATGAAGGAGGAAGGATGAAGGAGGAAGGAGGATTAATGCGAAGGAGGATGGAGCGAGCACGAGGAAAACGAGCTGGGTGCTTCGGCCCCTGCGGGCCCGTCGTGTTGTACTCTGCGGTCGCTCCTTCGATCCTCCTCGGCCCGTCGCTCCGCTCGTGGGCTCCTCCAGTGCCGATCCCTTCACCTTCCCGACCCAAACATCCGATGTCTTGATTTTTTCAATGCGAGATCCCCGGAGATCCCGACCCTTTCCCCAGGGCCAGGTTTCCGTCCCCAGTCGTTTTTTGATATTCCTGGTCCCCTCGAAGGCCGAAGACGGCCGAAAACCTCCCGGTCCGGATTTTTCCACGATTTTGGATGCCTGGGGAGGCAGGGCATTGCTTAGTCTTGGGTCCTCGGTCCTTACGGTCGAGAACTTTGGCTTGGCGATTTCGCGCCGCCGGTTCTGGCCCATCGCGCCTCGGCGCGACACGCTGTCCACGCTCGCACTTCGAGCGTCCACGTCCCGCGCTCTTCCCCGCCCCGCGGAGCGGAGCGGCACGCCATCGACTCACAGGGCACTGCGTGTCGCTTGGACCGCCGCCGCCGCGACACGCGAAGTACAAGTTCCTGACCGCAGCTATGGCAACGAAGAACGACATCAACATACAAGCTCGGAGGTCCGCGCGGATTTCTCGGATCCGCGTTGGAGCCCCCTCCCTGGCGCGCGGAGCGCGCCAGGGGCGGCGCCAGAGGCGCCGCCCGGGGGATCCAGCGCATACCTGGGAAATCCGCGCGGACCTCCGAGTTTGTATTTTTATGTTGTTCTTCGTTCCCCAAAGCAACTCTCCTCCTCGGCCCCTCCCTCGCGGCTGCGCAGGCCGGGACCTTCGCCAACGTGCACGCCGTGGCGGACGTGGCTTCGAGCCAGGCCTCTCGCATGCGGGGGGGGGGTAAGGGAGAACGTTGCGTCCCGAGCGGTGGCGCTGGATTCTCAGCCATTTGGCGCGCCTCGTATGGACAAGGAGGAGGAGGAGGAGGAGGAGGCGGAGGAGGAGGAGGAGGAGGCGGAGGAGGAGGAGGAGAGGGGAGGCGGAGGAGGAGGAGGAGGAGGACGAGGAGGAGGAGGCGGAAGAGGAGAGGAGGCGGAGGAGGAGGAGGAGGATGAGGCGGCGGGACCGAGGAGAGAGAGGAGGAGGAGGAGGAGTGAGGAGGAGGAGGAGGAGGAGGAGGAGGGAGGAGGAGGAGGAGGGAGGAGGAGGAGGAGGAGGAGGAGGAGGAGGAGGAGGGAGGAGGAGGAGGAGGAGGAGGAGGAGGAGGAGGAGGAGGAGGAGGAGGAGGAGGAGGAGGAGGAGGAGGAGGAGGAGGAGGAGGAGGAGGAGGAGGAGGAGGAGGCGAGGAGGCGGAGGAGGAGGAGGAGAGGAGGAGGAGGAGGAGGAGGAGGAGGAGGAGGAGGAGGAGGGAGGAGGAGGAGGAGGCGGAGGAGGCGGAGGAGGAGGAGGGAGGAGGGGAGGAGGAGGAGGAGGAGGAGGAGGAGGAGGAGGAGGAGGAGGAGGAGGAGGAAGAGGAGGAGGAGGAGGAGGAGGAGGAGGAGGAGGCGGAGGAGGAGGAGGCGGAGGAGGAGGAGAGAGGAGGAGGAGGAGGAGGAGGAGGAGGAGGAGGAGGAGGAGGAGGAGGAGGAGGAGGAGGAGGAGAGGAGGAGGAGGAGGAGGCGGAGGAGGAGGAGGAGGAGGAGGAGGAGGAGGAAGAGGAAGAAGAGGAAGAAGAGGAAGAAGAGGAAGAAGAAAAAGACGAAGAATAATAATAATAAGAAGAAGGAGAAGAAGACGACGAAGACGACGAAGAAGAAGAAGAAGAATAATAAGAATAATAATAAGAAGAAGAAGAATAAGAAGAAGAAGAAGAAGAAGAAGAATAAGAAAAATAAGAAGAAGAATAAGACGAATAATAATAATAAGAATAAGAAGAAACAGAAGAAGAAGACCAAGAAGAATAAGAATAATAATAATAATAATAAGAAGAAGACGAAGAAGAATAAGAAGAAGAAGAATAAGAGAAGAAGAAGAATAAGAAGAAGAAGCAGAAGAAGAAGCAGAAGAAGAAGACTAATAAGAATAATAAGAAGAAGAAGAAAAAGAATAAGAAGAATAAGAATAAGAAGAAAAAGAATAATAAGAAGAAGAAGAAGAATAATAATAAGAAGAAGAAGAAGACGAATAAGAAGAAGACGAAGAAGAAGAAGAAGAAGAATAAGAATAATAATAAGAAGAAGAAGACGAATTATAATAATAATAATAATAATAATAATAATAATATCAATAAGAAGAAGAAGAAGAATACGAAGAATAATAGGAAGAAGAAGAATAATAATAATAAGAAGAAGAATAATAATAAGAAGAAGAAGAATAAGAAGAATACTAATAATAATAAGAAGAAGAAGAAGAAGACGAATAAGAAGAAGAATAATAAGAAGAAGAATAAGAAGAAGAAGAGTAATAATAATAAGAAGAGTAAGACGCAGAAGAAGAATAATAAGAAGAAGAAGACGAAGAAGAAGAAGAAGAAGAATAAGAAGAATAATAAGAAGAATAAGAAGAATACGAAGAAGAATAATAATAATAAGAAGAAGAATAAGAAGAATAAGAAGAAGAATAAGAAGAAGAAGAATAATAATAATAAGAAGAAGAAGAAGAGGTGGAGGAGGAGGAGGAGGAGGAGGAGGAGGAGGAGGAGGGCCGAGGAGGGGGAGGTGGAGGAGGAGGAGGAGGAGGAGGAGGATGAGGAGGAGGGCCCGAGGAGGGGAGGAGGAGAGGACAGGAGGAGCAGGAGGAGGAGGAGGAGGGCGGCGGACCGAGGAGGAGGAGGAGGAGGAGGAGGAGGAGGAGGAGGAGGAGGAGGAGGAGGAGGGAGGAGGAAGGAGGAGGTGGAGGAGGAGGAGAGGTGGAGGATGACCGACGAGGAGGATGAGGAGGAGGACCGAGGAGGAGGAGGAGGAGGAGGAGGAGGAGGAGGAGGAGGAGGAGGAGGAGGAGGTGGAGGAGGAGGAGGAGGAGGAGGAGGAGGAGGAGGAAGAGGAGGAGGAGGAGGGGGAGGAGGAGGAGGAGGAGGAGGACGAGACATCCCGCGACTTCAACAAGTGTCGCGTCGGGAGCTTGAGGCCAACCGTCGGCCTTGCCAGGCCCTCGCCCGGCTCCCGGGCCGCCAGAGAGCGGCTCCGGAGGAGCGCGGCTGGCCGCGGGGAAGCGGTCGGGTCTTCTCACCGCCCACCAAGGCACCCCAACCCAACCCGAAGGCTCCGATTTGCCCTCCATTTCCAGTTTGGGGGGGTCGGGGAACGTGGAGAAAACACATATGGAGCCCGTACCCCCCCAACCCGAAATTCGGGTCTTCGGGTGGGGTTGGGGTGGTTTGGTAGGTAGTCATCTTCTGGGCCCCCCCGATACCGAGGCGCGTGTGCTGGCGGTCGGCCACGCTCCCGCGTTGCGTCGGAGTCTCGCAGGGCCTCCCGCGCATGTCTGGGCCTCCTGGATATTAAGTCGGGCCTGTCCCCCGACAGGGGGCTTTTCGACGAAAAGTAAAACATACCCCCAGAATAGGCCAAAAATAATCCAAAAATGGTCTGGGGACTATTTTTTGACTATTTTTTGACCTTTTTGGGGTATTTTTTGGGTATTTTTTATTTTTCGTCGAAAATCCCCTGTAGGGGGACGCCCGACATAATCCTAGATGGGGTCGGAGCAGATGGGGCCGGAGGATCGTGCCGCATCGGCGATGCATCGCCGACGCGGCTCGACGTGGAGCCCGATTTCCTTCACGTTGACGTCGCCGATGCATCGCCCACGTGGACGGTGCATCGCCAGTGCATCGAAGATGCATCGCCGATGCATCGCAGATGTATCGGCGATGCGGCGCGATCCCTCAACCCCATCTACTCCGACCCCATCTAGGAGGCCTCTAGTATGGACAAAACCTAGAGCGTCGGATGCCTCTGGGTCGGGCGCCTCGAGAGAGTCGAGACGGGCGGAGCTCGAAGCGCTGGGCGTCTGGGTTTCAAGCAGTGGCGAAGCGTCCTGGCTCGCCTATAGGCCCACCAAAGAATGTTCTAAAAACATTTTGTGGTCAGCGCGAAATGTTCTTAGAACACTTCTTGCTGACACTGTCTTGTTTTAGCACATCGGTGTATGTACTAATAACCGTGCTTTTGTTCTTAGAACGCGTCTGGGTTCTAAGAAAATTTCGCAGTATGCCTATAGGAATGCTGGGACGGTCGGTCCCTGCTCAAGGATTCGGGTTGCACGGAAGTTCTTTGACTGGCCTATGCTGTGTCTAGACGGCGCGTTGGTCTTGGGCGCAGAGCCCGCGTAGAACTAGCGTGATTGGCATTGACGATCATAGTTTATGCCGACCTTGGGTCGCTTTCGATCGGCAAGTAGCGCACTTCCGCTTAGCGTTGCTGATGGCGCTATCCCAGATCCAGATGTCCATCGCTCCGATTTTTCCTGTGGGCGGTCCCCTGGACCTCTCGACCCTCTCCCCTCAGGGCTGGTTTCTCAGTCGGCGCCGTGTTTTTCGAACGCCCCGAGGCCCGAAGTCGGCCCGCGGAGAGACCAGGAGGGGTACAGACTGGCCACCGCGACCTTCTCGAGGCGCCGGAGGCCTGGACCCGTCCGCCCGCCCCCCCCGGGAGCGGTCAGAGCTTCACTGCGCTTGACGAGCTGGCGCTGGCGGCGGGGCGGGCCTGCTTCGATGTGCTCGAGCCACGTGCAGCCCCGACGTACTCGAGCCGAGCACAGCCCCCCACTCGTAGGGCGTCGCTGCAGGTCAGGGGTCATTCTGGGTAGTCGAAGGCCAGACTGTCAGATAGGATTGGGCCCCAAGGGCCAATCTGGCCGGGCCAAACTGGATGATTTGGGTTATTCGCCAGACTGGAATCGCGTTGGCTCCCTCGCCAGATTGCCCCCGTTTGCCAGATTGGGCCTGCCAGATTGGCGCCAGATTGGCTTCGACTACCCAGTCATTCGTGTCCAGCGCCGCAAGCGAGAGTTGCTTTTGCTGTCAGCACGCTGAACTAAGGTTATGGTGATCAGACCTGTCTGAGGCTTGACCACCAGCAAGCATGTCGAGCACCAGGAGAGCACCGAAGTTGGAGGTTTTTCACGTGTCGGGCCCAGGGAGGCGATACTCGCTCGACACTGTTTCGATCCTTTTCTGGGTGCTCGAAACTATCTCTGGGATGTGGTCCTTGAGTACGATGGGAGCAGCATGCAACTGAGGAACACTTTTTGGTTCGGGAGGGGCTCTAGTGTCAGGAGGGAAAAAAACACACAGACACAAGTCATCGTCGATTCCCCAGAAAATACGGGAAACTATGGGAAGTGGGGGGAAGACAAAACCCCCCAAACGTGGGAACATATGGGGAATCTTTTTGTTCGTGTGTATGTATTTGTGTGCCCTGGGGCCCCTTCATAGTGCGTCAGCAGCTCCTGATCGATGCAGGTCGGGGAACCCATTCACTGCCGAGGCTCTCCGTGGCCGGAGCAGATCCCTCTCGCTGGTTTCGGGAGCCTCGAGACGGGGGTCAGTGCAAACGGGGGTCAGCCAGGGCGCTGGATCCTGCAGGATCCTGCGAAGACCCCCTCTGGCTGACCAGGGTTAGCGAGCCGCTCGTGGCCGCGAGGCGGCCGCGCCCATTGGCTGACCTGGGTTTGCGAAGACCTGCGTTGCATTTTTTTTTTCCTGCATCGCAGTTTTTGGTTTCCTGCTGACCCGGGTCTGGATTGACCCGGGTCAGAAGATCCCCGCTGGTTTCTTCAGCGTGCCTTTATGTCCTGGTTGGCTAACAAAAAGGGGGGCCCAGCTGGGGCCGCTCGTGGGGCCGCTGGGTTGCGTCTCGCGCCCCATCCTTTATGTGGGTGCCGCTCGCAGCTCTATAAAACGACGCGAAGATCGGGACAACATCGGATCGGGATAACTCGAAATCTCTGAGAATCGGCGGGTTTGGAGGATGTATTGGGCGCCGCGGCCGCTCCAGAGCGTTCCGGAACGCTCTGAGAGCGCTCCGGAACGCTCTGGATCGATTTATCCCGATCCTCGCCCTGCTTTACTCTAGTGATGGCGAAAGGACGAGCTTGCAGTCTTCAATGCACGCGGAGTCGACGCATGGAGAAAAAGATGGGGGCCCCAGCTGAAAAGGGGATGGTGCCACAGATTCGGGGCAATTGTACTGCACACGCACTGCGCCGGGGAGCTGCATCTCGCTGTGCTGCATCTGCTAGTGTCTTGCACGCAGAAGTCCAGCAACACCTGTGCGCCCCGGAATGTGCTGCACGCCCCAAGTCTACTTCTACTGCAATCCCACACTTTGTTCTGCACCGAATCTAATGCACCACCCCCTTGTAGCTGGACTCCACTTTTCGTAAAGCAGACAGATAGCGCGATGAATGTATCCTCTAGCTGCCTGCGACAAGCCCCGCAGCAGTGCAGCAATATGGATGTTGAGTTCCATGGGGATCTCTTGGCTGCAGATGTCCTTGAAATTCTGTCCCCCTGCTGGTGTTTCAGAAATTGGTTGCCCCACTCGCAAGACTAACCTCGACGCTAACTGTTCTTGCGCCTTGAGACTGCCGCGCCAAAGCAGGGAGGAGGATGAGCGAGGAGGGGGTGATGAGGAGCGAGGAGGGTGGAAGGAGCAGGAAGGAGGATGGAGCAGGATGGAGGGTGTCGAGGAGGAAGACGAGGGGCAGAGGTCACATTCGGCTGCCCAGGGTTTGAGACACATCCAGACATCCGATGCCTTGTTCTTGTTCAGCGCGGCGCCGGATTTCCATCCCGAGCTGCTTCTTCACGCCCCCGTGGCCCGGCGAGGCCCCCCCGAGGCCGAAAACAACCACAGACCTTCCGTCGTGATTTCTTGCACGACGCGAGGTCCACAGCAACAAAAGTCCTCCTCCTCCTCCTCCTCCTCCTCCTCCTCCTCATCCCCCTTCTCCTCCTCCTCCTTCTGATTTCCTCCTCCTCCTTCTCCTCCTCTTGCGTTTGCTCCTCCTCTTTTTACTCCTCCTTCTCCTCCTCCTCCTCTTCCTCCTCCTCCTCCTGCTCCTCCTCCTCCTGCTCCTCGCGCAGAGGGCAGAGGACGCACCTGCGGTGCGCAGCCCCCCCGCTGGTCCGCGCCCCAGCGGCCGAGAGGTGAGGTGCCTGGCGGTGATGTCCGGCAGGCTGTGGGTGGGCTGCTCCGGCGGCGTGACCACGGCGGGCCACGCAGGGGGCGGGTGGCGGGGGGTGGGAGGAGGTGAGGGTGACGACGATGGCGATGATGATGACGATGATGATGATATGATGATGATGATGATGATGATGATGATGATGATGATGATGATGATGATGATGATGATGATGATGATGATGATGACGATGATGCGGTTGCTGCTGCTTCTGCTGCTGCTGATGATGATGAACATGATGATGACGATGAGGATGCTGATGGTGATGATGATGCTGCTGATGGTGATGATGATGAAGTTCATGACGATTATTATGACGGGGATGATGATGATTGAGATGATGGGGATGATGATGATGCTGATGCTGATGATAATAATGATGCTGATGATGATGATGATGATGATGATGATGATGATGATGATTACGATGATGGTTCTGGTGCTGGTCCTGGTGCTGGTGCTGCTGATAGTGCTGGAATTGGTGATGATGATGATGATGATGATGATGATGATGATGATGATGATGATGATGATGATGATGATGATGATGATGATGATGATGATGATATTGATGATGATGATGATGATGATGATGATGATGATGATGATGATGATGATGATGATGATGATGATGATGATGATGATGATGGCCCTGCGTGCTGGATAATGTATTCTCGAGTGTCTCCGTTCCGCTGCCGTTTTGGGGCTCTGGCCAAAAACTTGAAGACGGTTGTGATGCTTGGCCCGCTCGCCCAAGTAGCGTCCGCCAGCTTCGCGGGCAGTTGGCTGGGGGGGGCCGCTCGCGCACGCCACTGTGACTGTGCGTGCGCCTGCCACACCAGCTCCGACGAAGGGGCCTTGAAGCTGCTCGAGAAGCAGCTCGACAGGCGCGGGCCCGAGCACCTGTGCCCGCAGTGCCCGACCTGCCCGCAGTGTCCAGGGCCTCCCCCTTGCCTGCCGCTCTGGCCTGCTGGGCTGGGCGGCTTCGTGGCGGGCGTCGCCACCACCGCGCTCGCGGCGCTGTGCGCTGGGCGCTGCAGGGGCCGCCGCGAGGGCGCCCGTCCGGCTCGCGCCGCCGGGCCGAGCCCGCCGTTGGGCCTCGCGGGCGGGCCGGCGCCGTCTGTGCCGGCGCCGGCGCTGGCCGCTGCCCCGGAGCCGAGGGCTCCTGCGGCGCTGCCGGGCGCGGCGGCGCTTCGGGGCCGGGCCTCGCACCGCGGGGCCGGGGTGCTGACGTTCGGCTGAGGCCGGGGCCCGCGCGGACAGCGGCATGTCGTCGCTCGCGCCTGGGACCTATGCCTTCGTGCAGTACAACGACCCGGCCGACAACGGGCTCTGGCATGAGCGCTTGATCTTGGGCTGGGTCACTGCATCAGAGTACAGTGTGATGACCCCAGATGGGGATGTCTTCATAGAACAGCTCGACTCGGCGAGCGCGGACCTGTCAGGTATCCGTTTTTCGCCTTCGTCGGGGGGCTTGCCCGCTGGCCTCGCGGGTGCGCCGCTCTACCGCTTCGCGGCGCAGCCTGCTGGGGCCGAGCTGACGGCGCTGCTCAACGAGGGGGCTTCGCACGCTCGCGTTGAGCGCCAGGCGAGGGGCTTGGCGCAGCCGCCCGGTGCGGGCATGGCCGGCGGCCCGGGCGGCGTTGCCCCGGCGGTGGTGCCGATCCCGCTGCCGGTCGCGCCGCCCCTGGCGGCAGCCGGCGCGCCCCCGCCGCCTCCGCCCGCCCCGAGGGTGGCGCCGGCCGCGGGCAGCTGGGTCTTCAACGTCCCCGGCCCCTCGCACGCGATCGGGCAGGAGTTCCTCTTCCCTGCGGGCGGGCTGGACTTCGGGGGCCACGTGTTCGTCTCGGTGGGCGGGGCGATCACCACGGGCTGCTTCGTCCAGGCGGGCACGAACCTCGACGAGTGGGCGGCGGAGCGGCAGCTCTTCCTGATGCAGGGCGAGCCGCGTCTGCTGCCCCGGCGGCAACCTGCGGGGCCGGTCCCATTCACCCGCGACGCGGCGTGGCTGCACAAGGACCCCCGGGTTGAGATCCACCTGAAGGGGCCGCCGACCATGGGGGACTCGGTGACCGCGTTGATGGCGCGGAGTCCGGGGGGCTTCATGTCCTCCCACGAGCGCTGGCTGGTGGAGAGCAAGGTGCCCGCAGCTAGCCGCTCGGCCCGCGAACATCGAGTGGTCTCGAAGGCGCTCGAGCTCGGACAGGCGGTGGACGGCATAAACCTGGCGAACCTCACCTGCATGGAGTACCTCAACAGGCGCCGCCAGTTGCTGGAGGAGGCCCACAAGACCGACCCGGACAAGGGCAACTTCGAGGGCGCCCACCACTTCATGGGCGAGGATGACGATGGAGCGGGCACCCTTGTCGCCCCGAGCCTCCGCTCGCACGTGGCCGGCGAGTTCGGCAAGGAGGCGGCCATCGAGAAGGAGAGACGCAAAGCACGAGAAGCGAAGAAGCCACCTCCCGGAGGTGGCGGGAAATCATGACCGACTTGAACCACGACGGCGCCTTTGCTGGCGGCGCCGCCGCGGCTTGGAAAGACCAGCTTTTTTCGGAGGAGGGAGTGGCCCCGCCTTGGGGCTGGCCGGACGCACAGCCGCCCGGCTTCAGGCCGCCGCCGGGACTTCCGAGGCCGCCCGGCTGCCTGGACGATCTCTTCCCCCTCCCGCTGCTTGACCCGCAGGAGGCCGATTTTGGCGGCTCCGGCCGCGCCCGCGCCGGGCAACAAAGGAGATGCATCCGTCGGGGCGTGCTGCGTGACGTGAACGACTCGCTGATGGGCCTCAATGCTCTGTACGGCTGTGAGCGCTCGTCGGTTGCCGCGCCCACCGAGGCGCAGAGGCTGGCACAACGGAGGCTGCTCCGTTCCGCTCGCTCTGCCCGACAAGTTTTTCCAGACTTATTTAACATGAGTCCCCGTGAAGCTGCCAGTGAGCTTCTGGGATCGCGCCTCGATTATCAGGGATCGGTGACGACGGTCGTCCCGTGCCGCGCCGATGCCCTGTCTTTGCCCCCCGCAGGACGACAGCCGGTCAGCCTTCAGGGCGTTCTCGACCCTGATGCCGCGCACGCGCTTGCTAACTTTGAGAGCCTCCTCGCCGAGCCTGAGGTTCGTCAGGCCCGTCGGGAGGGGGGCCCGGTCCGACCCTACATGGACGCTGTGCTTAAAAATGATCGGGCCCAGTATGTGCAGTTTTTGGGGCAGCTCGCGAGCTGCCATGTGCTCACCTCCACTAGGACTAAGAAAGCCTCTGTCACCCCGTTTTTCGTGTCAAAAAAGACCGACAAGATTCGGCTCGTTAGACTGTCGTGAATCTAACCAGTTTTTTAAGCGCTCTCCCTTCGCGGAGATAGCTGCGGCGGAGAGCCTCAGCTCGTTGGAGGTCCCCGAGGGCAGGCGGTTGTACAGTGCATGTGCTGATATCCAGTGTGCATTCTATCAGTGCGGAGATATAGGAGATCTATGCCAGTACTTCTGCCTCCCTAAGGTGACTCGGGCCGAGGCTCACCGCGCTGGTATCCCCGTGAAGGGCCTGGGTGGCACGAGCGACTTCGTGTACCCGGCGATGCAGGTGCTTCCGATGGGTTGGCCCTGGGCCCCCTGGTTCGTCCAAGGTCTTCACCTCGAGGTGGTGCGGAGGTCAGGGGTCCCTTCTACCATGGGTGCTACTGGGTCCTGGCCTCTTCCTTCGGTCGTCGAGGGCCCAATCGAGGTCCCGTACTCGGTCAACGTGAACGTGTTCGGTTCGGAGCCGGGGCCCGTGTTAGCAACGCGTGATCGCATCGTCGCCCAGTTCGAGGCGGAGGGGTTCGCCATGCATGATATCTCCGAGGTGTCGTCCGAGGGCGTCGTCTTGGGAGCTGACGTCGGAGGGCCGGATCCCTTCGCCCGCCGCTCTCTAAAAAAGCTGTTGGTGGTCAGGAAAGCTCTGTTCTGGCTCGCAACGGGCCCGTGCGTAAGCGGCCGACAGCTGGAGGTTATCTTGGGGCATTATGTCGCTGCCTGTCTTTTCTGCCGTCCCGGCTTTTCGATCATGCGTGCGGTGTGCGAGTTTGTCCGGGCGTCTTGCGACGCGCCCAAGGTGCTCTGGAGAAGTTGTCGTTACGAGTGTTGGCTTATGGCGACCCTATGCATCCATCTGCAGTCTCCCCTGTCTTTGCCGTGGGCGAGTGAGGTCATCGCTACCGACGCGTCCACTACCGGGATGGGAGTGACCGAGGCCAGGCTTCCGAAGGAAGTCGTAGCGGATGTTGGGGGATGGCGGGAGAGGTGGAGGTATCGTCGCTTGGAACCTTCTGAGTGGGCCCCCCGGGCCCGGGCCCTCGACGGCCTGGGCGAAATCGCCATGCCACGCACTGCCTGGGAGAACCCGTCGGAGCGCGGTTGGAAGCACGCTGTCGGTTTTCCCGAGGTCCCGTCTGAAGTCCTTGGAGCCCAGTTTCGTGTCGTGTACGCTGCGCCCTTCAGATATGCCGAGCACATCGGGGTCAAGGAGGGGCGGGCCGCTGTGTGGGCTTTGCGCCGTGATGCGAGAGATCCAGGGCGGCACTGCTCCAGGTGGTTGTACTTGATTGACAATTTCGGGGTCGTGCTTGCTTTGGAGCGTGGGGGGGCCACATCACACGGCCTCCTGCAGATCTGTCGACGGGTCACCGCTCTGTCCATGGCCTGTAGCATTTCGGCTCGTTTCCGTTGGATCGCCTCAGAGTCAAACCCGGCCGACGCGCCTAGTCGGCTCTGGGAGCGGCCGGACGCTCGGCCGCCCTGTGGGCCGCATGCCCGGCCCGCTCAGCGTGGCTGGAGGGACTGCGCCCTGCCTGGAGGACAGCCGCGGGCGCGCGTCGACCACCAAGGGGGTCCAGCGCGCCGTGCGGAAGGCTCGTGCTGCTCGTCTTCCAGCCCCAGCCGCGCCGAGGCGGGCCAGGCTGGGGAGGCCCGCTGCCGCGCCAGCGCTGCGGCGGCGCCCGGCGGCGGTGGCCGCGCCTGTGCCGCTTCGCCGCCCAGCAGCCGCAGGCGCGCCCGCGCCGATGCGCCGCCCGGCCGCGGCGCCCGGCGCTGCCGGGCTTCGGCCCCGGCTGGCGGCGGCGGTGGCGACGGTGCGGACCTCGAAGGTGACAGCCGCGATCCCGTCGGCCTGCGAGAACGCAGCCGTCGGAGCCTCGGCCAGGCTCTCCTACCAGCAGTACTACGCGGCCTTCCAGGCGTTCGTGGGACAGCCAGCCGACGACCTCGAGGCGCTCGAGGTGCAGGTCCTGGAGGTCATCGACACGTTCCTGGAGGCGGGCTGCACGAAGGGGGACGCGGACTACCTGGTCGCCGCCGTCAAGGACGCGCTGCCGAGGGCGACGGGGCCGAGGGCCTTGCCTCGCGTGCAGCGCGCGCTGAAGGGGTGCGGCAAGAAGATGCCCCCGAGGTCGCGGGCTCCCGCGCCCCGCGAGGTGGTGGGCTCAGCGATCTCGGGACTCCTCTCGGTGAACGAGCGGGACGCCGCGCTCCAGGTGCTCGCGATGTTCAGCACGTTCATCCGCCCGGGTGCGCTGAGGAAGCTGCTGGTGAGGGACCTCTTGCGGCCCGCGAGGGCCGGGGGTGCCATGACGGTGTGGTCGCTCCTCCTGGCGCCGACGGCGGCCGACCCGCTGGCCCCGCTCGCCCACGAGGCGGACCGAGCCCGCTTCCTGACCAAGACGGGGGCGTCCGACGAGGCGGTGCCGCTCGACAACCCGCCCTGGCTCGGGCCTCTGTTGGCCCAGCACGCACGCGGCCGTCCAGGGCACCTGTCGTTGTTCACCACCCCCGCGGTCGACATGGCGGTGCTGTTCCGCAAGGTCGCGACGGCTCAGGGGCTGCAGGATGTGTGCCTATACCAGTTGCGCCACGGCGGTGCGAGCGAGGATGTCCTCTCGGCCCGCCGCGCCCTCGGGGAAGTGAAGTCGAGGGGGCATTGGAGCCAGGACAGCAGCGTCAAGAGGTATGCAAAGCCCGGGATGGTCCAGCAGCTGTTGTCGGCGCTGTCACCGGCCGCCAGAACGCACGGCGAGGTCCAGTGGGCGAGGCTCGAGGACCTCTTCGCGGGGCGCCTCCGCTCCTCGTGGCCAGTGCAGTAGCCTCGATTAGGCCGCTGGGCGATTGGGGGCCGCGAGGTGGGCTGCTGCAACTACCCCGTGTCGTGCGTTTTGCCAATGAAGTGGGAGTGGGGCTGATGGCGGGCAGCCGCAGGTTGTCGGCGGCCTGTGTTCGTG